CCGGCTGCTGCGGCCCCCGGCGCGCCTGTCGGGCCGCGGCGTGGCGCCCATCGCCGGCCCCCTGCTGCAGCTCACCTGCGTCAGCTGCGTGCGCGCCGTCCTGAACTCGCAGCCCGGCCTCGAGTATATCCTCAGCAACCAGGGCTATGTGCGCCAGCTCTCCCAGGGTGAGCCCGGGCAGCCGGGGGATGGGGGGGTGGGGACCGGCCGGCAGCCAGGCCTAGGTGACTATCCAAGGCTCCCGGAGTGGGAGGCTATCCAGGGGCATCTGGACCCCAAGAGGAGAGGGCTTGGAGGCCCTCCTAGAGGAGAGGGAGCATTCACCCCAGGTGGAGGACCTCCGGGTCACCCTGGTCCCTCCCCAGGACCTGCTGTCCTCCCTGCTTAGTGACTCGCCCACCCTTCCACCAGCCTTGCGCTCCCACTGCCTGGCTGCCCGGTCCCTGTGGTGTTGCCAGCTGCGGTCCTGGAGACCCAGTGGTTTGGGGACTGTTTACATAGGGCCCTCGGGAGCCTGGGAGGGCAGAGCCTAGGCAGCACAGGGTGCGGCCCGGCCCACGGGCTTCCCCTGCCCTGGGCTCATTCCCTCTGTTGTAAACCCACTGGAACCGGCATGCCCTCCCACACCCCAAGTCCCTGCCGGACACTCCGCACCTTTACACATAGTGAGTCCCGGACACGAACCACGGGGGCATCTGGTCTCCACCGACCCTCCAGCACACGGCTGCCCTAGTCACCTGGTCGTAGCCGAAGTCCACTGAGGGCCCCACTTGCTCTCCGCCTGCCCCAGGCTCCCCAGCTGGGACCCCACCTGCGAGCGGCACCATTCTCTGTTTCCCGGCACCTGCTCCTGCATCTGCCTCCTGGCCCTGGCCCCTGGTCTGGTCTGGCCCCTGCGTCTTGCTTGGACGACTTTCTGCCCTTGCAGGCTTCCAAACACTCATCCTCTAAGTGGCCCTTCATTATCGCACTGAGCCATGGCAGCCCCCAGGTCCTGTGATGCTTGGGGCTCTGGTGCAGGCTGGGGTAGGGGCTGACAGCAGGGTCAGGCTGTGGGTGCAGGAGCAGGGCTGCTTCCCTGTCTGACCTGGGCACGCAGGCCTGTCTGCGGGCCTGCCCTGGCCGTGCCCCTCTATAGAGCCGTGGTGCCTTGTTCCCAGCAGGGCTAGACGAGGGAGCCCCCAGACTCCTGCAGCACGGCGCTGAGTGCAGAGGTGTCTAGGGCCCAGGACTAGCGGCCAGGCACTGGCAGGTGGCAGGGACCCCGGAAGTAAAGGTCACCTCGGTGGACCCGAAGCCAGGGTTCCTGTGATCACCGGTGTGGCTGTGGGAGTGTGCAGAGCAGCCCTGGCGCCTGGGGGAAGGGTGGGGGACGACTGTGGCCTGATTGGCAACGGCCCTGCCCCGCAGCGCTGGACACATCCAACGTGATGGTCAAGAAGCAGGTGTTCGAGCTGCTGGCTGCCCTGTGCATCCACTCTCCCGCGGGCCATGCACTAACCCTCGACGCCCTGGAGCACTACAAGGTGGGCCTGGGAGTGGGCCTGGGGTCGGGCGGGCCTGGGGCGCCCCTGGACACTGACCGCAGCCCACCTGCAGGCGGAGCACAGCCAGCAGTACCGCTTCAGCACCATCATGACGGAGCTCTCCAACAGCGACAACGTGCCCTACACCGTCACCCTGCTCAGCGTGGTCAACGCCATCATCCTGGGGCCCGAGGACCTCCGCACCCGTGCGCAGCTGCGTGGCGAATTCATCGGTTAGCGCCACCACCCTTGCCTTCACTGTGGGCCATCCCCGGGTGCCCCATCCCAGGCCCTGCCTCCACCTGTCCTGTAGGGAACACAGGCCCCAGGACCCTGGATGTAACCCCAGAGGATCCTGAGTGGCTGCCGGTCAGCAGTGGAGACAGCTGCTGTCCGGTTAGCACCCACTGTGGCAGTGGCCGCCTGACAACCCTGGGTGTGCAGCCCAGGGAGCCCATATGGGTGTCCACAGGAGCCATCCGCACCCCACGGACGGGGTGCTCGGTTGGTCGGCAGGCAGCCCAGGGGAGGCGGGGTGGTGGGAACAGATGGCCCCCAAGCCCCTGACCCTGGTCTCTTCCAGGGCTGCAGCTGCTGGATGTGCTGAGCCGGCTGCGGTGAGTCCCCACGAGGCCGTCCTACCAGCCACCCACGCTGCCCCTCCTTCCCTGGGTCCCCAGGCCTTGCCCAGGCAGCAGCTCCAACAGGCCCACCCGCAGCGGAACTCGGGCCCTGGCAGCCGTAGGGATGGGGTGGCTGGTACAGCACAGGACATCTCGGCAGTTAGGCTCATGCAGGAAAGCTGCTTCGTGGAAGGGTATCCCAGGCCGAGAGTTAGTCCATGTCGATCAGAAACGAGGGTGTAACTGGGACCCCACGGCTTCACTCGCTCAGCCTGCAGCCTTCTGGGAGCCCACGACGCTACAAACCCCCATCCAGGGCCTACTCAGGGCCAACCCGAGGTGACCCAACCAGAGTCAGCTTGGAGGAGCCGGGCCGGGGTGGCTAGAGGCGACTGGCCAGCCCTGGGCCCGGTGGTCTCTCCAGCCCTCCTACTGGAGCCAGAGCCCTCCTCCGTGTGGTCTGAGTGGTCCAGGCCATGCCACCCAGCTGCTGTGTCCACCCCAGGGGAGGACTCGCCCTTCCCCGCCCCGGGCCTGTGGGCCCACCACCCTGTAGGCTGGCACCGCGACGACGTGGCCCCAGCAGCCAGGGTGTCATCCAGCTAGGCGAGCAGGAGGCGCGGGCTGCCCTGGCTGTCCGTCTGCCCTGGGGCTCACAGCACCGGCGCCTCCCACCCAGGGACCTGGAGGATGCCGACCTGCTCATCCAGCTGGAGGCCTTCGAGGAGGCCAAGGCTGAGGACGAGGAGGAGCTGCGGGTCTCTGGCGGGGTGGATATGAGCAGCCACCAGGAGGTCTTCGCCTCCCTGTTCCACAAGGTGGGCCTGGAGGGACAGTGCGGCCACTGGACGGGGCAGGGCTGCCCAGCCAGCACAGTAGCCCAGGGTGCGGCCGCCCCGGTGGGTGGAGACCAGGGCCGCTGACCTCCCACTGAGCATAGACGTCCCAGGTGGCACCAGAACGCTGGCACTGACCCTCACCCGGGTCTCAGAGGTCACAGTGTGCCATCAGGAGGGGACGGCCGCTGACCTGTGCCCCTCATGCCCACCCAGGTGAGCTGCTCCCCCGTGTCAGCACACCTGCTGTCTGTACTGCAGGGCCTCCTGCACCTGGAGGCCACCTGCCCCTGCAGCCAGCTGCTCTGGGAGGCGCTCGACAGTCTGGTGAACCGCGCCGTGCTCCTGGCCAGCGACGGTGAGTGGGCCGGCAGGCGGGTAGTGGGCAGGCCGGGCTCAGCCCATGGGCAGACACGGGTTTCGGGTGTGAGGGGGCTGTAAGGGAGGCAGCCACCCCTTCCCTACCTCCTTTCTTCCCTAACCCTGACCCCGGACATCCCCAACTGTAGCCCAGGAGTGCACCCTGGAGGAGGTGGTTGAGCGACTCCTGTCCATCAAGGGGCGGCCCCAGCTGAGGTCCCTGGACAAGGCCCACAAGGGCATCCAGGCCAGTCTAGGCCAAAACTGGGCAGGCAGCTGCCTCCGCAGCACTGCCGCCCCCGAGACTTCCAAGGAGGGCCCACAGCCTCTGGAGCCCCAGCTGCCCCCAGCC